GAAGGATGGAGAGAGATAGTTCCGCCAGATGTCGGGATAGGCAAGCCGGTTGTCGGGATGGGGATTTGTTTTCTCTTTTTCGTTTTTTTTTTTTTTTTTTTTTTTCCCGTTTTTTCACTTGGCTATATTCAACGCCGTTAAATTGCAATTTTTTCATACCTTTTAAATCTGAAGCGGAACAATTTTATCTAGGGAAGCTTAGGAAATAATTTGATTTGTTTTCTCTTTTTTGTTTTAATTTTTTTTTTTCGTTTTTTCACTTGGCTATATTCAATGCCGTTGAATTGCAATTTTTTTCTTACCTTTTAAATCTGAAGCGGAACAATTTGATGTGTTTTTTTTTTTGGGGGGGGGGGTCTATTTGGAATAAATAAAGTTTTGTATCTTTTTTTTTTTTTTTTTTTTTTGGGCAACGAAATTTTACGAAATTCCGTGTGACTGTAATGCGAATTACGAAATAATTTGATCCTGTTTTGTTTTTTCGTGATTTTTTCTTTTTATTCCACAAAATTCAAAACAATTTGATCTTTTCTTTTTTTGGGGGGGGGGTTCTTTTTGAAATAAATAGAGTTTTATATCTTTTGTTTGGTTCTTTTTTTTTTTTTGCAACGAAATTCCACGGAATTCCATGCGACTCTGAGCCCAAGGAGGAAATAATTTAATTACAACAATGAGTTTACCAGTTCCAGTCAATCCAGTCTTCTGTTTCTTTTTTTTGGGTTTTTTTCTTTTTGAAATAAATACAGTTTTGTATCTTTTTAATGAAATTCAACAAAATTCCATCTAACTTCGAGCCGGATTACAAAATAATTTGATTTGTGTTATCTTTTTTTCTTCTTTTTTTGTTTTTTCGTTTTCTTGCTGTTAAACTGTGCTTTCATATCATTTTCCATGTGACTCTGAGCCAGATTACAAAATAACTTCATTTGTTCTCTTTTTTTTTTTTTGTTCACCTCGCTGTTAAACTGTGCTTCTGTATATATTCTTTCCCGATGTTCTAAATAATGGTTGTTATACTTACTCCAACCGACTGTTGTTTTCTGTGTTTGTGCTCCGCGTACTCTCGCGTCGCTATTGCTTACTGCTCTCTGCACAACATTAGCTGAGAGTTCCAATGCCTATTGAAAGGGCAGAAAGAGCACGCTCTGCAGCCAGAGAACGTTGACAGCATTATAGACAAACACACGTTGAGAATGTTCGACCACACATCAACAATGCGCGCGTCTACACATCAACACTGTTCATGCAGCAAAAGTTGTCGTAAATATAGTTTCCCTCGGAAATAGAACACCTAGCACGTCTGCGTGGCAGAGAAATGGCCTCATGAAAATACTTCGACGACACTCTGCTGTCTACGAGGAAAAGTGCAACCACCACTATGGACGTATCCTGATCGCCTAACGCTAGCCGCTCGCATTTTTCACTCATGGGAAACAGATAACAGATACGGTAGACTACTACGATCACGTGCACGTCAATTCAACAACGCACTTGCACTTGCGTCTCAGTCGGTTAAAGAAATGCAATGCTTGCTGGCTGCTGGCCAGGTATGCTCAGGATAGAAGGGCGGCTTCAACAGCAGGTAGGTCCGCTCATGCCGAATGAAAACCAACAACCATCATTCACACAAATATACATACATGATCCACGGGATGACACCGATGCGACCATCCTGCGTTTACAAGGCCTTGACCTCCCGTCGGATATTCCGCTTGCCACGGTTCAAGGCATCAAACATCTCTTGCA